TGCTCGATTAGTGTTAATCAACCATCCAATCAATTGCTTAGAATGTTTAGGATTTTGATTTCAATTTTTGTGATTTGGACGATCATTTAGTAGACAAAGCTCCGAATAGCCTTCCTTCGAGATCGACCTGAGTCGGGTAACTCGGTTATCCCTTGCCCATCAAATTTATACACAACAATAACTTATATTTATCGCCTTATCATGTTTTAAACTAAAAATCATACACGTTTAAAAAAGTCGAGAAAAAAAGGGTAAATAGGGGCAAGAACGAAAAATGTAAGCAACGTCCCCAGAAAAACGTGTTTTCGAACACGGCACCATTATTTGACGTGGATAACATATATTTATCGCCCTAGTGTGTTTTGAAGCAAAATCGTACACTTTTAAAGAAGTTGAGAAAAATAAGGGTAAATAGGGGCAAGAACGAAAATGTAAGCAACGTCTCCGGAAAGAATTGTTTTCGAACACGACACCATTATTTTATGTGGATAACATATATTTATTGCCTCAACGTGTTTTGAAGCAAAATCGTATACGTTTAAAAAAGTCGAGGAAAATAAGGGTAAATAGGGACAAGAGCGAAAAATGTAAGCAACTTCTCTGGAAAGACTTGTTTTCGAACACGGCACCATTATTTGATGTGGATAACATATATTTTTTGCCTCATCGTGTTTTGAATCAAAATTGTACACGTTTAAAAAAGTCGAGAAAACTAAGGGTAAATAGGGGCAAGAACGAAAATATAAGCAACATCTCCAGTAAGACTTTTTTTCGAACACGTCACATTATTTGATGTGGATAACATGTATTTTTCGCCCCATCGTATTTTGAAGCAAAATCATACACGTTTAAAAAAGTCGATGAAAATAAGGGTAATAGGGGCAAGAGCGAAAAATGTAAGCATTGACTCCGGAAAGACTTGTTTTCGAACACGACACCATTATTTGATGTGGATAACATAAATTATCGCCTCATCGTGTTTTGAAGCAAAATCGTACACGTTTAAAAAAGTCGAGGAAAATAAGGGTAAATAGGGGCAAGAAGGAAAATGTAAGCAACGTCTCCGGAAAGACTTGTTTTCGAACACGACGCCATTATTTTATGTGGATAACATATATTTATCGTCTCATCGTGTTTTGAAGCAAAATCGTATACGTTTAAACAAGTCGAGGAAAATAAGAGTAAATACGGGCAAGAAAGAAAATGTAAGCTACGTCTCCGCAAAGACTTGTTTTCAAACACGACACAATTGTTTTATGTGGATAACATATATTTATTGCCCCATCGTATTTTGAAGCAAAATCGTACACGTTTAAAAAAGTTGAGGAAAATATGGGTAAATAGGGGCAAGAATGAAAAATGTAAGCAACATCTCCGGAAAGACTGTTTTGCAAACACGACATCATTATTTGATGTGGATAACATATATTTATCGCCCCATTGTGTTTTGAAGCAAAATCGTATACGTTTAAAAAATTCGAGGAAAATAAGGGTAAATAGGGGCAAGAACGAAAAATGTAAGCAACGTCTCCGGAAAGACTTGTTTTCGAACACGGCACCATTATTTGATGTGGATAACATATATTTATCGCCCTATCGTGTTTTGAAGCTAAATCGTACACGTTTAAAAAAGTCGAGGAAAATAAGGGAAAATAGGGGCAAGAACAAAAATGTAAGCAAGGTCTCCGGAAAGACTTGTTTTCGAACACGGCACAATTATTTGATACGGATAACATATATTTATCGCCCTATCGTGTTTTGAAGCAAATCGTACACGTTTAAAAAAGTCGAGAAAAATAAGGGTAAATAGGGGTAAAAACGAAAAATGTAAGCAATATCTCAGGAAAGACTTGTTTTCGAACATTACACCATTATTGGTTGTAGATAACATATATTTATTGCCCCATCGTGTTTTGAAACAAAATAGTACACATTTAAAAAAGTCGAGGAAAATAAGGATACATAGGGGAAAGAACGAAAAATGTAAGCATCGTCTCGGAAAGACTTGTTTCGAACACGGCACCATTATTTGATGTGGATAACATATATTTATCGCCTTATCGTGTTTTGAAGCAAAATCGTACACGTTTAAAAAAGTCGAGGAAAATAAGGGTAAATAGAGGCAAGAATGAAAAATGTCAGCAACCTCTCTTGAAAGACTTGTTTTCGAACACGACACCATTATTTGATGTGGATAACATATATTTATTGCTCCCATCATGTTTTGAAGAAAATCGTACACATTTAAAAAAAGTTGAGGAAAATAAGGGTAAATAAGGGCAAGAACGAAAAATGTAAGCAACGTCCCTGGAAAGACTTGTTTTCCAACACGGCACCCTTATTTGATGTGGATAACATATATTTATCGCCCCATCGTGTTTTGAAGCAAAATCGTACACGTATAAAAAAATCGAGAAAAATAAGGATAAATAGGGGCAAGATGGAAAAATGTAAGCAACGTCTACAGAAAGACTTGTTTTCGAACACGGCACCATTATTTGATGTGGATAACATATATTTATAGCCCCCTCGTGTTTTGAAGCAAAATCGTACACGTTTAAAAAGTCGAGGAAAATAAGGGTAAATAGAGGCAAGAATGAAAAATGTCAGCAACGTCTCTGGAAAGACTTGTTTTCGAACACGACCATTATTTGATGTGGATAACATATATTTATCACCACATCGTGGTTTGAATAAAATCGTACACGTTCAAAAAAAGTTGAGGAAAATAAGGGTAAATAAGGGCAAAAACGAAAAATGTAAGCGACGTCTCCAGAAAGACTTGTTTTCGAACACAACACCATTATTTGATGTGGATAACATAAATTTATTGCCCCATCGTGTTGTGAAGAAAAATCGTACACGTTTAAAAATGTCGAGGAAAATACAGGTAAATAGGGAAAGAATGAAAAATATAAGCAACATCTCCGGAAAGACTTTTTTGCAAACACGACATCATTATTTGATGTGGATATCATTTATTTATCGCCCCATTCTGTTTTGAAGCAAAATCATACACGTTTAAAAAAGTCGAGGAAAATAAGGGTAAATAGGGGCAAGAACGAAAAATATAAGCAACGTCTCCGGAAAGACTTGTTTTCGAACACGGCACCATTATTTGATGTGGATAAGATATATTTATTGCCCCATCCGGTTTTGAAGCAAAATCGTACACGTTTAAAAAAGTCGAGGAATATAAGGGTAAATAGGGGCAAGAACGAAAAATGTCAGCAACGTCTCTTGAAAGACTTATTTTCGAACACGACACCATTATTTGATGTGGATAACATATATTTATCACCCCCATCATGTTTTGAAGAAAAACGTACACGTTTAAAAAAAAAAGTTGAGGAAAATGAGGGTAAATAAGGGCAAGAACGAAAAATGTAAGCAACGTCCCTGGAAAGACTTGTTTTCGAACACGGCACCCTTATTTGATGTGGATAACATATATTTATCGCCCCATCGTGTTTTGAAGCAAAATCGTACACGTTTAAAAAAGTCGAGAAAAATAAGGGTAAATAGAGGCAATAATGAAAAATATCAGCAACGTCTCTGGAAAGACTTGTTTTCGTACACGACACCATTATGTGATGTGGATAACATATATTTATCACCACATTGTGTTTTGAAGAAAATCGTACACGTTCAAAAAAAGTTGAGAAAAATAAGGGTAAATAAGGGCAAGAACGAAAAATGTAAGCAACGTCTCCGGAAAGACTTGTTTTCGAACACGGCACCATTATTTGATGTGGATAACATATATTTATCGCCCCCTCGTGTTTTGAAGCAAAATCGTACACGTTTAAAAAAGTCGAGAAAAATAAGGGTAAATAGAGGCAATAATGAAAAATATCAGCAACGTCTCTGGAAAGACTTGTTTTCGAACACGACACCATTATGTGATGTGGATAACATATATTTATCATCACATTGTGTTTTGAAGAAAATCGTACACGTTCAAAAAAAGTTGAGAAAAATAAGGGTAAATAAGGGCAAGAACAAAAAATGTAAGCAACGTCTCCGGAAAGACTTGTTTTCAAACACAACACCATTATTTGATGTGGATAACATAAATTTATTGCCCCATCGTGTTGTGAAGAAAAATCGTACACGTATAAAAAAGTCGAGGAATATAAGGGTAAATAGGGGTAAGAACGAAAAATGTAAGCAACATCTCCGAAAAGACTTGTTTTCGAACACGACACCATTATTTGATGTGGATTGGATATATTTATCGCCCCATTGTGTTTTGAAGCAAATTCGTATACATTTAAAAATGTCGAGAAAAGTAAGGGTAAATAGGGACAAGAACGAAAAATGTAATCAACGTCTGCGGAAAGACTTGTTTTCGAACACGATACCATTATTTGATGTGGATAACATATATTTATTGCCCCATCGTGTTTTGAAGAAAAATCGTACACGTTTAAAAAAGTCGAGGAAAATAAGGGTAAATACTGGCAAGAACGAAAAATGTAAGCAACATCTCCGGAAAGACTTGTTTTAGCACGCGACGCCATTATTTGATGTGGATAACTTATATTTATTGCCTCATCATGTTTTAAATTAAAAATTATACACGTTTAAAAATGTCGAGGAAAATAAGGGTAAATAGGGGCAAGAACGAAAAATGTAAGCAACGTCTCCAGAAAGACGTGTTTTCGAACACGGCACCATTATTTGACGTGGATAACATATATTTATCGCCCTAGTGTGTTCCGAAGCAAAATCGTACACTTTAAAAAAAGTCGAGAAAAATAAGGGTAAATAGGGGCAAGAACGAAAATGTAAGCAACGTCTCCGAAAAGACTTGTTTTCGAACACGACACCATTATTTGATGTGGATAACATATATTTATTGCCCCATCGTGTTTTGAAGCAAAATGGTACACGTTTAAGAAAGTCGAGAAAAATAAGGGTAAATAGGGGCAAGTTCGAAAAATGTAAGCAACGTCTCCGAAAAGACTTGTTTTCGAACACGGCACCATTATTTGATGTGGATAACATATATTTATCGCCCCATTGTGTTTTGAAGCAAAACGGTACACTTTTAAGAAAGTCGAGAAAAATAAGGGTAAATAGGTGCAAGTACGAAAAATGTAAGCAACGTCTCCAGAAAGACTTGTTTTCGAACACGGCACCATTACTTGATGTGGATAACATATATTTATCGCCCCATCGTGTTTTGAAGCAAAATAGTACACGTTTAAGAAAGTCGAGGAAAATAAGGGTAAATAGGGGCAATGTAAGCAACGTCTCCGGAAAGACTTATTTTCGAACACGACACCAATATTTATGTGGAGAACATATATTTATCGCCCCATCGTGTTTTGAAGAAAAATGGTACACGTTTAAGAAAGTCGAGGAAAATAAGGTAAATAGGGGCAAGTACGAAAATGTAAGCAACGTCTCCGGAAAGACTTGTTTTCGAACACGACACCATTATTTGATGTCGATAACATATATTTATCGCCCCATCGTGTTTTGAAGCAAATGGTACACGTTTAAGAAAGTCGCGAAAAATAATGGTAAATTGGGGCAAGTACGAAAAATGTAAGCAACGTCTCCGGAAAGACTTGTTTTCAAACACGGCACCATTATTGATGTGGATAACATATATCTATCGCCCCATCGTGTTTTGAAGCAAAACGGTACACTTTTAAGAAAGTCGAGGAAAATAAGGGTAAATAGGGGCAAGTACGAAAAATGTAAGCAAGACTAAGTCATTCGATCACAGTCTAGACTGGCAGTGAGACCCCACTTGGAAAAAGACTGTAGTGTATTCTTGATTCAGTTGGTCTTCGACTGGTGAATTACACTAGCACTTATGTTAAGTGTTGAACAGGACCGCAGAAGGCAAAGGTTATGAGACTCACTGACCGTAGTTGTAACCTCGTCCTTCAGTGATTGGTGTGTTCTCTTAATCCGTAAGATAATATAAAATAGGCATATATTTTTATTTCTTATTTATTTGATTTACCAAGTGATTCATATTATATTAGGATGACATACGAGGTATTTTGGTAAGTAAGAATAATTATATGATG